TGCTGAAGAAATACATGGCAAAATCCTAAACTAATGAGTTTACACATAATTTATATGTACAGAATTGTTTCATGCAGAGTGACAACAAGGAGCCATATAATGCCTATTATCTAAAGATGGAACCTGTTTGTTATCCTTTTAATAGCAGCAGAGATAGGACACTGTCAGAGGCTTGCAGTATAACCCATGGTAAAAGGAAAAACACTTACCATAATGTTATCCAGCTGCTGAGCAAGTGATGCTCTAATGTTGCACAGTCAGGCAAACAAAGCCATCAGTCAGTGGAACATGGAGGCCTAAAGACCTTTGACTTTCAGGGCCTACATATATCTAAATCATAAACTTACTACATATGTTCATTACTAGACTAAGTAATAAGCACACAGCAACAGCAACTGCTTTGGTCCCATAAGCAGCTATACTTAGGCCTGATTTCTATTTCTCTGAAGAAACCCCCAATGAAAATCAAAGTTAGTAAATGAGGAGATGATTTGGGCAGTTATTTTCATTCTCAGCCTTTACTGAGACACATTTCACCAGGCTTATCTCAGAGCTGCTGTTTTTCAGTGAAGATATAAGGCATAGTCTTGACTTCTTAACATCCAGGATGTACTCTTTCCTTACTACAAAGCCAGCAATTGCATTTTTTAAATACAAATGGACGTGGATGAGATGACAAGCAGCTGTTCAGCACAAGATAGGTCAGAAGTTTGGGAGCAATCTCCTCTGGGATGGCTGGATACATCAGGACTGCTTTGTACGGCTGCACACTGGGAAAAAGAGAGTCCTGTGCTAAAGGGTAAGCCAAGCCTCTCGAGTCCCACATTGTTGGGGGGAAAGAAAAGACAGCAGTGGCTGAGACATGCTGAGATTTGAAACAAGGAGCTTTTTTCAGCTATCAGTGGAGAGGGATACTCCACTTAAACTTTGTTTTCTCCTCTGCTCTGCCCAATCGTACTTTAGCTCTTAATTTCTGAAGGCCACACAAATTCTCTACTTGCTCATGATATTTTTCTAATTTTAATTGTACTTTATTAAATAAAAGTGTTTCCATCTACAGCAAAATGAAACAAAATTTCCAGTTATTATATGCTTTTGGTTTCTGTCTCCTTTATAAGTACCTTATTTTCTCCAGTCATTTTCAAGATTTCAGGCTAGGATCACCACAACCTCTTATATCATATAATTTTCCTACCATGAAGTTGTTTATGTGTATTGTTTACCCAACAGACATTTCTCTTTCACTTGGTATATTCATTACTAAATAATTCTGTGAGAAGATACAGGCCACTGACTTTTTGCAATTTGCATCCCCATACTCTAAGCTATGTTGAAAGCAAAGCTTTTTGGTCCTCTTGCTTTGGAAGTACATTAATATTTCTATGACCTTTACTAGATGGCAGATGAGAAGCATTAGGAATAAAATAAAAAACAAACCAAAAAACCCCCCCATTTTTTAAAAAATGCATATTTCTGAAAGGAGTAAGAGAGAAAAAAATTTAGTCTAAAAAAAATATGAAGTTTAGCTAATTATGCTAATTGTTCTGCTGTAGCCTATTTTTCCATGACAAAATGTTTCTTTATGATCAATCCACTCAACATAATGCAAAAATGTATTTGAAGGGGTTCAGTAGCTATGTATACAAAAATATATAGATAGTATTTAGAGATATTTAGAAAGAAATAGAATAGTTTAAGACGTGTTTATATACTGTGTATGTTGAAGTGATCATATTCAAAGCACGGTCACTGTGCTAACAACTACTTCACACAAAATTACTTAAATAATTTAATTTCCAAAGCCTGCTGCTTATAAAGAGAAATTCTGCAAAACAAGCTGCAGATGTAGTGACTTTTTGTTTGGTGTAAATGCTCTGCTTTAGAAGACTATACTTTCTAAAGCCTTTAGAAGCCTTTAGAAGGAAAACCAACTAAATTCTACCCAGGAAACCATTTCTCTCAAAGCAGCACTGTTTTTCAGTGGTTTTACTACACACCGGAAGCCAGCCCTGTTCCTGTTCATCTAGGTGTCGATGCCATAACTCAAAGGAACAGATCCAAAAATGATTTTTAATGACTTGAAATTTGACTGCTTTATGAACACTCTGTATAGATTAACAACACCTATGATTCAGGAAGGCATTAAAAAGATAGAAAGTAGAAGTTGCCCCACAAACTTAAGTATTTGTTCACTGTTTTCCAACTGGAGGCAAAACTAGCATTCTTTAATAGCAACCCTCTTTTATATACTTTATATCATATACTTTCTATCATATGCCACATTATCAACTAGGGGTGTGTGTCTGTGTTATTTCTCTTTAGGATAGTGTGGAAGACCCAAAAATTTTAAGATAGCAATAACCAGTTCACCATACCAGGAATCACATGAATCTAGAAGAGATCAGATTAAATCAAGTGGTGCTATTTATAGGATTGACATGATGGGAAAAAAAACCTTTTGTCTTCACTACCAGGAGCAATGCTATTACAACCAGTAAAAACAGGGATGGATAGGCCTTATACTGAGTGTGTCACATACCTTTTTTTTTGTTTTTTATTAATACTTTCATAAGTTCTTCTCTTCCAATGCATGAAAATTTTCCCTCGAGGTTTCAAGGAATAGTCTCTCATAATCTTGGAACTAAAACATAGATTTGTTAAAACCAAATTAATTTTAAATGAAATGAGTTGTTGCTTGGACACAAGCATTTCCATTTCATTTGCAATTAAAGCCCAAGAGCTTCTTGATCTTTGTTCAAGTTTTCAGAGAAACTGAAAGTAACTAGAAAATGAGTTTAAAAACCTCCTTTCCTCCCCACTGTTTATTTTTTTTTTCTGTATTTCTTCAGCTTGATCTAGCAGTATAGACAAGTGTAAATCATCCTTACATTTTTAACAGTTTTATCTAGAGGATTTCTAATACACAGCTTTCAATCATTAGATGAAGAAATTCTAGCTCTCAATTAATCTGTAAAGTCAGAGAAAGCTATGCTGGGTTATCCAGCTAAGAACCTGCTCCATTTTAAAAATAGCTCCCATCTCCTTAGATTATTGTGCTTTAATTATGCCATGTGTAAAATATTTTTATACATAAACCTGCCAATCTGAACTTACTCAAGTGATGGCATCTGTCGTTGCAGTTAATGTTCTTAGCTCACTGCTGGTTTAAAATATAATCAGTTTTCATCTGCTAGTTTGAATGGAACTGAAGTTTCTGCTCAAGATATAGGCTGTGATGCCATGTTGCATTGCGCAAAGACAGTTCCTACATTCATACCCAAAGTCAGATCACTCTCCTTGCACTGCAGGGTAGGGGCTCTGAAAGATTTCATTGCAGTCCTTCTCAAGCATACAACAACATAGCCCTTGTAAAAGATTTTTTTATGTGGTACATAATTCCATATGACATGGTAAAATAAATTTTCAAGAGACTATGTTTTTATCTAAAATATTCACTGACTTGCATACATGCATAGCTCCAAAATGAGCAAGGACAAAAGGCAAAGGCAGGTTGCCTGCTTTCTGAACCTATACATGAGCTTTAACTTTGCACATGTACATGCAAATTCTAATTTAATGCATACAGAGAAACTGATTAGATGAGAGCATCTTTTTAAAAAAAAATAAAATGGTATCAGTGATTTGTGCACAATGAAAATACAGAAAGCTAGAAGTGCAACAGTTTCTTTGTCAGGTCAGACATTTCAAGAACTGGAATCATTCTGCTCCATCCTAGGATAAACGATCTGCTACAGTCTTATTAGGAGAAATGGCACACCTTAACATCAGTGCCTGCCTTGCTTAGCTGTCATCTCACATTCCTAGGGGCTTGTTTGTCCTCTGTGACTGAAATTTGTACAGCAGTGTCAGGGATTTGGATGCTCGGTTCCCATTATTGTTGCTGAGGATCTTAACCCCTTTGTTAAGGGATGTTAGTTCTTTTTGTGGATTTGTTGTCTTCTGGGTCTGTGGTTTATGTTCCCTGCCTTTCAGTACTTCCAATGAGTCTTCAGTCTGCTCTTAAAAAGGCCTTTTGCCATTGGTGCATTTTAAAATCATTCACAGAAAGCCCTTAAGTGGCTATGGGAAAGCTATTTCTTACAGACATGTTACACATATGTATCTCAAAAGCCTGGAGAAAGCCTGCACTGGAGAAATGCAAGCAGTAGAGGTAACAGAGCAGGAATATAGATGATTCGGATAATACAAGAGACCTTAGGACAGAAATTTCTGAGCAAGTTGCCAAGCTGTCCAAATGAAACTATTTGGACTATCTTGGCTCCTGGAGCACAGCAGAAGTCTCTGATCTAAAAATTTGCATTTGGTCTTCTCTTCCTCATGGGTACAATATCCTCATGTTGTCTACACCAACATGAGAAATAAAACAGTGGCAAGACAGAGACTTAAGTCCTGGCCCTCTATCTACCCTATTTAATGTTTTTAACATAAGCATAATAGAATTAAAGCATGGATGCAAGCCACATAGTCTTAATTAGCCTCCAGACCAGAGATCATAACTTGGCTCCTTTTATTCACTACTACACAGGGAGCCAGAGATTAAAATCTCTAAGATTAAAATATCACTCTGTGACATTTAACCATCTTTGCAAGGCATGCTTATGACGGCCGAGAAGAAGGGCTACTGGTCTGTAATGATTTCTTAGTTAGCAATACATTTACATATGTATGTCCACATGTGTATGTCTATATATATATGTATGTATACACACAAAATATTTATGTAAACAGATGGTTGACATCATTTTCAACCTTAGTTAAGAAGGCAATCCAGTACAGAGAACAAGTTTCTAGCCTTTGATTCCTTTTGTTTTTAATACGGTTTTAACTGTCAACACTAGAAAGTCATAAATATGAGACTAATGTAATAAGGACTACCACAAACACACACTGCTATGTTATTTTTTTTGTTCCCTACTCAAAGTATCCCCACATCTTCACATATTTCCTTCCTCCTCACTGTCAGACACTGAGGCTCTCAGTTATGCAGGTAAAAAGGACTGACACTTTCTAAACTGTAACAGTTTGTTGCAAGAATTATGAAGACTAACTGGAGTCACCCTTTGAGAAAAATGTTCTGGTGATTATACTGAGATGAACTTCCATGTTTTGCAACGTATCTGCAGCCACAGAGAAAGAAAGACTTTCAAAATGTGTTCTTACATTGCTAAACATGCTCTCTTTTACCTTCTCACTGCTTTGTTCATAAACAGTTATGCCCATTTGCCCCAGAGAATATTAACAGTTTGCAGTATTTCATAGTATTAGGCTCAGCCCCCCTAAAAAAAATGGTGGGAAATCTTCATAAGAGTTTTAAATCTTATTTTAAATCTTTTACCTTCTGGTTATACGTAACACGCTGAAAGACAGATCCCTACAGCAAATGTAACAGGGGTATACTCTCTGCCTCTTGCCTCTTTTCAGACTTTCTTGGACACACAAGGTTGTGTCACAATTAACCTGCACTGCATATTTGAAGAACTGCCATGAAGTGCCTCTGCTATGAAACACCTAAAGAAAAGCAGGGCTGCTTTTTCTTTAAGTGTTTTGTCAGTTCTGTGCTTTTCTGACACAGAACTGATCACAGAATCTTATGTTCACTCACTCCCCAAACATAAAACACTTTCTTTTGCCTTAAATCCCTTTTGAAATCTCCAAAGCAACTTACTGAAAGGGTGCAACGTTTCTCTCAAAAATCTATTACTAAATTAATCTTACATTAACTATGATGATGCCAGTGAATTTCCATACAACTCAAAATGCAAATGAATTTGTGTTTTTTAGGTGGCAATGGGCAGTTCATTTAAACAATTCAAACCAAAACATAAAACGTTGCTTCCTATGCAAAAGCTAAACAAAGAATTTGATTGCACTAAAGGACTTTGAAACCTAATTTGTTGACTTCACCTTGGGATTACCTGGAAATAAAAATACAATAAAAATACATCAATAAACTTGACATACAAAAATACTACTCATATTTGAAGATGAAGAAACCGTGTTTCTTCTGTGCTATATCCTGTACAGTCCTGTTGATTTCAGAATGCTTAAAACAGGGTATAATGGATTTTGTCCCACACACTGTGGAAGATCTATGCAATAGAAACAGTGTAGAAGCGGTTGCGTGCTGCCTGGTCTATCTGGTATTGTTGATACTCTTGACAGGAACATTTATTAGACCATGTTAGCAGTAGACAAGAGACTCCCTCTGATACCCATAATTGTCTTCAGGAGACTGACCATATATTGTAGTCATGTTAAATAAAGCAGCTATAAAAGCATCCACCACATGCGATCACTTGCTGCTTTCTGGGAAATTATTGCAGTCATGGTTTGAGAATGATCAAAGGGTGAAAAAAAAGGGGTTGCCATTTTAAAAACAGTAAGAATGAGATCACATCATCCATGAAAAGCATGTGGAGGTGAATTGGGGTAGTCTGACCCCAGACTCCAGGAATAAACTCTTGTCTCTTCACCTCTCCACTACAGTATAGCTTGATTTGTGTCCACTGAAATCAGAAGGAATTTTTATCATTTATTTCACAAAGGGAAAGAATCAAATGTTAAGCATCCCTCTTTTATGGGCATCACTGTCTAATGTTGGGGGGAGATTCCCAGCATCCCTAATGGTATTACATAGCAGTTTCAAAGAGGGCTACGATCCCCCATCTTAGGTCAGTGAACACTATCTCAGACCACAAGTAGGTCCAGAGAAAGTAAAATAGGACCGTTACAATTCTGTAGCCGCAGGTACTACCCTGCGGAAATGTACTACTTAGCTTAGAAAAAGGGTGGTAAAACCTGCCCTACAATGTCTGCATATGAATGTGCTTGCCATATGTTTCCTACACATGCTTCTTCAAAACATCAGGGATTAATTCACGGTTATGGAAAGTATCCGTCAGCACAGAACGAGAACCCTGTTCTCGGTATCCACCTAAAACTAAGAAAATTCACTATGAACTACACCCACAGTAACATCTGTGTAAAGTAAAGGTAAGTAACAGATGTGTTTTTCCTTTCTTAGACCACAGTGGTGGCTCTTGAAGTTCAGTATCTGTCTGGAGTCTGTCGATGATCTTTGCCAAGATGCATACGTCTTTCTGCCCATGACACTTTCAAGCAAGTTAGTCTTGCACCAGGATTCTCTGGGTTCAGCTTTATTAGCCTATAGAGGCTCAGGACTCTCTTGCATTGTTTCACTCCCTGTCAACAGCAAACTGCAACTACAGGTGACTGCCTATTGTCTCAGCATAGCCACAAAAGAGCAGAGGTGAATAGATGTAGGGCAGCAGAAATGGAACTCAGTGCATTCTGCACGGTGCTGAAACACTTGACAAGGTGAATTCTGTAAAATCCAGGCAGCTCCTCAAGCTTTTTCTGGATACTTTTCACTGGCAGCACTGAAAAAGAAGGATGATGTATTGTGAACAGAATTCTAAGGCAAATTAAACAGTTTAATGGAAGATAAATATCTCAGCAAAACATGGAAACTTGGGATAGCATCACAGCTTTCTAGATTACTATGGATAAAGAGAAATCAGAACCACAATGGAGAGACAGGAAACAGTTATTAAGCTATTCTGAAGCTACTGGGCGAAAGGCTGGGCTGGTTCTTTGCTGGTGTCAGAACTCTTTGTGCTAACAAAAGGAAAAGGGTTTTTTCAGCTGTTCTGAAGTGTCCATCTCCTTTGACACTAACAAGAGTTAGACACCTAAATACATCATACTGGACCATGGTTTTAGCAAGCCTTGTACGAAAGAGCAAGAGAGAATCGAAATTACTGATTCACTTCATGAGGCAGCCACAACTGTGATGTGGGGTTGTGATGATTTCATAGTCACAGGGTTCTGGGCTGCATCATGTGGGGGCATGGCATGATTTTGCCTCTTATTGCTTTCTAAGTAAACCCACTCATTTTTAACAAATCCTTTTGTATAGCAAATACACATTTCATACATCTGCCAGCACCAATTTGGAAATACAATACCACACAGTTTTCTTTTGGGAATTTTAAAGTTTGACATTCATAGGTCTCTTTCAAAACACACACAGATCAATCAGGAAAAAAAAGAAACTTAAACTACGACTTAACAACCATAGCTAAAGAAAAATTTCTCAGTGTAGAAATAATCCACATTTTCAAATCATGATTTACCTCAGTGTTAAGGTACTCCCCAGTACATACCTTCCAATGTTCCAGAAAAAATCTAAAACCTAAAAAGGACTTCAGATTAGCATGCCAATAATATGATGTGATCCAACACCGACTGTTTGGTATTTTTTAAGCCAATGGAATGTCATGCTTAACATTTAATTGTTCTTTAACTAAATAAATGCAATTAGGATTTTCCCTGTAATCTTTCTGAACAAGCTGAGAAATATGTCTCATACCTACCCATGCATTCGTGCAATTATTGATGGGGTTGTTGATGGAAGATTAGAATTTGCTGGGTGAGTTGCTGACCAATGAACCTTGCCAGTGTATCCAGGGATATTTGGAGTGCTAAAGGAAAATTGGAGAAAGGTTAAATTAAATGACTATAGGCTTGAAATATGACTTACAGATCATTTCTAAAATAGCTAGTGCTTATCAAAGATGGATGGGGTAAAACCTCTTTATAATATAATTCGTAGTCCTTAGAATGTATGAATTGGCACAGTTTCTTTAAGATCAGAAAAACAAATTTATGATGATAATAAATGATAAGCAACTAGCTGATGATCTGACCTAAGATCTTTACTTAGACATGGCAAAAGTGAATCCTTTAGCGACTTTTCTTTTTTTGTTTTCCCTGTTGAATATCTGTATGATATTCATGATTACAAGCAACACTGAATCTCGAAGAAAAAAGGGGTCATGGGATTTGCATAGAGCACAGAAAGCAAAGAATTACTCTTCTAAAATGTGATAAAGATTTAGCTCATATTTAGGTTCCAGCTTCAAATATGGAATTTACGTAGCAGATTTTAGGCCAACAGGTGTGGTTTCTCACAGCCTAAACCACAAATGATTTCCCGAATAATTCTGAGGTTTGTTAAATCTCCCCTAGAGTTCATTAAAAGCGTATTTACATACATATGTAGTATTATTAACACAACTTAGACACATCAACCTAAATTCTAGCCCAAGTACACCAGTGGACTGAGACAGCATGGGCCACATCTTGGAAGGCTAAAGCCTTTTGTTAATTCCAGTGCTAAATTCTAATGTGAAATACCAAATAAAAGAAAATGAGAAATGAATTCTACTTCTCTGAGGTAGTGCAACATAAAATTTTGATAGCAATCACGGCAAGATGAAGCAGAGATGGACAAAATTAACAAAAAAACCACGAAGGTGTACAAAGAAGAATTCAGAGGGATAATCCTGAAGATTAAATCTATGAAGATAATTCATTAAAATAATCCATGAAGATTAAAGATTAAAACTCTAAGTCCCTAATAAAATAGCTTTTTTCAACACAAAGTTATTCAGAGAGTATCATAAGTACTGTTCTATATTGACAGCTCAAAATAGGACACTGCTGAATTATACATATATCCAGCCTGCCCATACACATGGAAGAAAGAGTGCATGACAAGCTGTTTCGTCCTCTGAATCAGCTAAATACTTGGGATTGTAACCTTTACCTCCATTAGACCTTTGGAGGTCTTCAGACCACAAGAATGATAGACAACAGTGCCTCCTTTAAAATATCACCAAGGTACTTTTTTGTTTCCCCTGTACTGGATAAAAATTAACAGTTCCTTTAATTATAAAATGCATACAGATAGTGGATTCAATACAGCCGATCAGCTACTTCTCTGAAACAAAGTTCAGCACAAGATGCAAAACTGGACATATGTGCCAAATGTGGTTTATCAGAAAATTCATTGACTTGTGACTAGGAAACTTGTATCTGGAATTCTTAACCAGAATACCAGAGGTAATGTCAAAATCATATATCTAGTTACTGCAGTTATAACAAAGGACTGTGACTGAACTATACTTGCCACAGGAGCATTGGCAATATATGTTGCAGTCTTTGTATCCATAGTTAGCAGAAAGACCATCTAGTTCTTTGCCTTATTTTGGAGTAGCCTTGCACTAACCCATACATTCTTACACTCTTATATTCCCTGGGCCATGCTCCAGTACATGACCCTCCAGAGAAGATGGCTTTGTAGAATCAGTACAACAGTTCTGCAGCATTTGGGAAGCTTTTACCTGCAGTAAATCACCAAGGTGTTGGCTGAGCAAGTAACAAATCTGCTCTCTATCTTGACAGCAGCCATGCAGGGATAACAAGTAGGCCTGAAAACCTGCTCAGCAGTAGAACGGATTTTCTGAATTAGCCAAAATGGCTTGCAGACAAATTTGATTTTTCGTGTCAAAGTAGACAAGGTTTATGTTACATGTGGATTAGGTAACTGTCAAAAATTTAATCTGCGTATGCAGAGATCACACTGAGGGACACACTGGACATTGGGTGTGTGCAAGTACAAGTGCATGCATTCATCTAAACCTGAAAATGTGATATCACCTTGAAGGAATCAGTCAGACCGTTAACAGAGTTTTATCACTGTGGTGGTGTGCTATGTATCAAGATGCATCTCACACATGCAACAAAGAAATTCCATTGACTTCCTTAAAATTGTATGAGATCACAGAGAAGGCAATAACAACAAGAAGCCCTGTATTAACTTGCAACATTTTAATAACCTATTTGGAGTTAACTGACATTATAACTATGCAATTGTGGAGATATTAGAATACATTATCCACTGCGAGGCACTTGATTGATCAAATCTGATCTTAAAACCTACAAGACTAGAAGTAGAGAAAAAGGCTTCAGAAATGGCCAAATGTGACCCAAAAATGAAACCTGAGAGATGGCTCAAGATGAAGACTTGTTTTAGACTTGTTAGAAAGGATTGACAGGAATTGGTATATTCATAATATGTGGGAAGGATGTAGCTCTGAAAGAGAAGAGAAATGGGCAAAGAGAAGCTAAAGAACCAGTATAGTAAGAAAGCTTGTACTACAGTAAAGCAGCTGCTCTCCTGGAAACCTGCAAAGAAGATGCAAAAATGAGCTGCGGTTATGTATGTGATAAAGCAGAAGAAACTGAGGTTAAAAAAAATACCCCTTTGCTTGTTTTTGGTTTTGGATCATGGTGTCTAGCTCCTGTGTATGTTCTCTGATGATCTGCTAAACCTGATTGCTGCTGCTAAAGAAAACAATCAAGTGCCAGGCTATCACTGGGCAACATGCAAAACTTCTCTGTGGTTATGCTGTCGTCATCAAGCTTTCTTGCTGTAACTATGACATCTCTCTTGTTCATACACTTCCTTGTAATCACACTAGCAGCTCTTAGTCCCAACAGTAAGAAACATAGAGTGTTGACAGTTGAATCTGTGCAAGCTCTAAGATTTTTCAAGTGGAATGTAGTGATTCTGAGTGTGTCTGCTTTGGTGTGCCTCTGTTTTGTATACCCACATCAGGATATCTTTGAAGACTTATTTCCTGGTAATGTCAGGAAAATAGTGTAGAATCAATTGAGTTGGCAAACCATGCTGACATTCAGAGATATTTGATATGCCTTAAGGCATCTCAGATAAGCCCCCATAGCACAGGACCCGCAGGAGATGCATGCTGTCCTGAAGCAGCAGCTGGAAGTGATGGTCTGGGGTGCCATGTCAATTCCATATCAGCTCTTTTTATGGGAGCAGAATCAGGATTCCCCCAAATAATTTCTAATTCTTGAAAACCTTGGATTTGGCATTTTAGCTTGAATGACTGAGGTAGCCAAGTTCTATGTGCGAAACTTCTGTCTAGTGAAAGCAATCTGGTAGATTCTTACCTTGCACTTAAAAGCAAAGATTTCCTAGCATCTTGCTCTTTCTTAGAAACACTGTTGTATAAATCTCATATAACTGAATCACCAGATTACATCATTAACTATTTCTTCTTATTACTAAAATTATAAAATAGGCCTCTCAGGTCTCACTCACAGCACAAAGGACTCGCAATTGTCCTCCAACTCAAATTCCCTTCCAGGAAGACAAATGGTTTTGGGGCTTCTGAAAGAATAAAACCATCAAAATGGTAATACCGCAGAAATATTTTGAATCATGTTGAACTGAAACATTTCGTTTCTACAGTTTCAAACAGTTTTATTCTGCTTTCACCCTTTTCACCCCCACCTTCCTTCCCCCCCATATCCCCCCCCTTACCCCCACCCCTCAAGCTAGCCATAAAATCTCAAGTAGAAAATGTCAAAATAGGATATTTCAGCATTCCCCACCATCCACCCCATGCATGACTCAAACAAGAAAATCACTAACAAGGCATACATGGTGGACAAACTGTCAGTTTCTGAAGAAAAAATACAAGATGAGAAAGCTTTTAGGCAGCTGAAGAAAATGACTACACAAGGTGCAAGGTGGCAGAGGGTCCTGTCCCCATCTAATTGTGGCCTGTGAGGTTTCTGTGGTAACTTGTAATTATAATGGATGCTCGGACACAGTCCGTTGGAAGCTGACTGCACTGAAAAAATATGACCGAAGTCACTACAGATACAGTGTTGTAATAGCATTTTGCCCAATGTCCTTGAGGATCCAAGGGTAAAGAGTAGCTTCAGAGTATATCTTTGTGCAAGAACCGTAGGACTTGAAACACTTAATATATGCAGTTTCTAGGAAGACAAACTCCTAAGTTCCCATTTCAATCAACTGCTTCCAGAAATGGATTTTGGTCAGATCCTGTCCTCTCTCTCTGACACACAACCTCTTTGGCCCTGGACAACTCACTTCAGTCTTGTCTTCATCTTTCAAAAACTAATACTATCATCTACTTTACCAGTGCTATGGTAATGAATTAGTCAATGCTTCGAAAGTGCTGCTAAGTAAATAACACTTGGTTAGAATGCATATGTATTGTGTAAGCACTGCCCTCTACTGAGTCCTATGAGAGCTGATGAATTCTGAGTAGCAAGTTTTAAAATGTTAATGAGTGACAGGTTTTTATTTAATTGTGGAGGCCAGGCTTTTCATGTGGAACAAGAAAACATAATCTATGTTCTAACTGCTTTTGTCAGATTTCAAGGGGCAGGTTCCAGTAAGTATCACAGTGAAAATTAGGAACACACAAAAAAGAGAAGAGCACGAGTCAGATATAACACTTGATAGATATGAACTGCTGCTGTGTACACTGGAATGCACTAAATGTGCTACAATACTACTGCACTAAGTACTTCTAACTCACTGAATGTAAGGGAGTTCTAAAAATGCCAAGGAGGTGAGTTGTTTGTCAGGCTGAGCATTTACCAGAGCCCTGCCCGTGAATGCTGCAGAGGAAATCCCCATCACCAGTGTGGGAAGCTTTTTTTCCATTGACCCTTAAAACACCTGCAGCACTAAAATACCACATAAAGCATAACCTTGTTTCAGCAGCTGATTGGGGAAGAGGTCAACAAAGGAAAAAGCTAGTGACAGGGGTGGAGGAGAGCTATACAAAATTAC